GCCAACATAGAGGGATTGCAACAGAGTCAGAGAGCCAAAGAGGTACCACCTAATAGAAGAAACTCACGCTCTTTTCACTAATAGGTGGTCCGTTTGGATTCGCAGTAAAACAGACATCGACAATATACAAAACCGGAAACATAGATAAATAGATAGATAGATAAGCCTGCTCCGGCACAAGTGGCGCGAGCACCGCCAGACACAACAGGCAGACAGCCAGCCAGTCCGAGCTTGGAAATTAGTCAGCCGGTTTAGAGGCAGCCAGCCAGTCGAGCCAGGCGCCAGGCAGACTAAGCAGCTAGGGAGGCAGGGCAGGTTGATATCCTCTAAGATCCCTTTTAGTATAGCCATGGTTAAAATATATACATAAATATTTGACCGCGGCATGTTTGTAGGATTGGGGCAAGAGGATATCAACCTGCCCAGACAGAGAGCCAGACAGTCCGCCGCATAGGTGAAATGAGAGAGGCAGAGAGGGAGCAGAAGGTTGGGAGGGGCCTCCAACCTACTAGCCATGGCCTCCAACCCAGTACTCAACTGAGCAATCCCACGAATGGACCTAGGTGGCGCCCCCGTAAGCGGTTCCTCCAATTTAGAGATATTTGGAGTACCCATCCCGGGCTGTTTTCAGCCGAAACAAGAGTGGGCAGGGGGCGCCAGACACAGCAGCAATCTCTATAAAATTCAAGGGAGTACAGCCAGTCCAAGAAATTAAGCTCTCTACAGAATCAGTGGGCTTTAGGTTTGCCCTACCACAATCTCTATAAAATTCAGGGGGGTGCAGTCCTTGGAATCACGGTCTTCTACAAAATCAGGAACCCTTCTACAGAATCAGGTGGGCTATGCCTGAGTGCCACTCTGTTGATGCTCACTCAAACGCTAGGTACGCAGCCGATGTTTCTTTGAACAATAGGGGGGGATGCCCTGCAACCAAGTAGCTCAAGAATACGAGTTTCAGGAAGCTTTTTTTTGGTTGGGGGAAACAAGGATTCGCGTCGGCCACCAGCCTACTAATGAGTTAGCTATGGCCTCCAGCCTACTTAGTAGCAGTAGGCTCCAGCGAGTAGCGAGGGTCCAACCGAAGTGATACCGTAGTAGCGGAGGCCTCCAGCCTGGTAATTAGCGAGGGCCGCGGAGGTCAGCTAGGTAGGGGTGGACCGCCAAGTAAAATTAATTAGACAGTCAGCCAGGACGACAGTCACAGTGGCTCCACGTTTGTACTACTGGCCCAAGCCAGAGAGCGAGACAGACTGGACGAGCCAGCAAGACAGACGGGACCAGCCAGCGACCTCAAGAGCCAGGCAGACATGGCAGCCGAGGCAGCGCAGCAGGCAGCGGCGGAGCTGGGCACGTGGGAGGCAGTGGAGGCAGCGCGGGCAGCGAGCGCAGCCGAGCAGGCAGCCAGGTTCACTATGCAGCAAGAGACGCTGCAGGAACTACGCCTAATTGGCAAGAAAGTGCATTGCCTTGAGGCCCGCTTGGAGCCTGGGCGAGACAGATTAGTGAGAAACTTATTGAACGCCCAAGGCTTCGCATATTTGGGTGCGTTTTCATGCATGGCCGTGTTCTTGTAGGCAATCGGAAAACATGTTGTCTTCATTGAGCAATGAAAAAAAATCTAAGGACACGTTCTGCAACTTACAGGCAGACAGAGAGCGGCATAGGAAGCAAGCGGTGCAGGAAGGGAGGGAGGCAGAGAAAGCCGAACGCTGGAAGCAGTTCCTCGAGACAGCCAGACAAGCAGGGCCTCCGTTCTCGTGGCTGCTGATGTGTTTCAAGTGAGGCAGTGAGAGAGCTAGGGCACCTCCGAGGCAGACAGCCAGCCGTTTAAAGGCAGCCAGCCAGACAGGGTTTGGCGCCAGGCAGGCAGACGGCCAGGGAGGCAGCCTGGCAGAGAGCAGAGCTAGTCAGCCAGTTTAGAGGCAGCCAGCCAGCAGAGCCAGGCGCCAGCAGGCGGCTAGAGAAGCAGGGCAGGTTGATATCCTCTAAGACCCCCTTTAGTATAGCCATGGTTAAAATATATACATAAATATTTGACCGCGGCATGTTTGTAGGATTGGGGCAAGAGGATATCAACCTGCCCAGCCAGACAGAGAGCCAGACAGTCCGCCACACAAACGAGAGAGGCAGGCAGCCAGTGGAGGGACAGGGAGTGGAGAGTCAGGGACAGCCAGACAGTTAGAGTTAGCTATTGCTAGGAGCAAGGACGCTACTAGGGACGCCTAGCATCGCTACTAGGAGTAAGGCCCCTACTAGGGGCTCCTGGCCTCGCTACTAGGAGAGCCAGCGAAGAGTCTGCAACGCGACATGGTCGATTTTGAGGGTGTATTGGGACCTATTTTGGGGGAGTTTTGGGGAACCTAATAAAAAAAACTACCCCCAAAATCGACCATGTTGGTAGTTTAGTAGCGGTTTGAAAGGGCGGCAATTTAAAACCAAATATAAACCGAATTTAGGGGTTCGGACGTGGGGTTTTTTTAATTGGGGAGTGTTTATTAATAGGTACTCGGGATTATATATACTGCACATACGTGGTGTGAGTGGCGCGCGTGTCTATACGCACATATAACATTATGTATTATGGATATGTATATATATATGCTTCTATAACATTATATAATGTGTAGACATATAGTATATATGTATGTTTCTTGGTGTTCATGACAGCCTGACAAGCGCTGCTGACCTGCATGTCCAGAAAAAAAAAGGGTGCTTCCCCCCCTTGATTCTGATTGTTGGATGTCGCTGGATGTGGATGGTCGGAAATCATACCAAATCTTGTGCAGAAAACGTTACCCTGGGGCTGTCAGAACCAGGATTGCATGAACTTGCACCCCTTGGATGGATGCCGTCGCTTCGATGGCTCGATTCTTGGATGATCCGACCACGTCACTTCAACAGTGCAAAGGGTTGTCTCTGGTATAAAAATCCATGAAAGATGTGTGTCAGCATGATTTCATGTTGAATGATTTGTCACTCGGAAGCTTTCTTGCCTTACTACTAGTAGCAAAGGCGCTACTATTCCTTCAAACACCTGGCCTCACGGCTGCCTGTGCGCCCAGCAGCTCGAAGACTGCCTGGCGCTCCAAGTTGAAGAGGGCCTCGGAATAATTAGAGGGTTGGTGGGTCTGCCGGGCAACCACTGTTCTCAATATATCACCACTGGTTTTCCGAATTGTTGCAACCGGTTTCTGCTTGGGTTCTGCTTGGCCTGCTACAACAGGTAAAGGAACTGTCCAGCAGAGAACTTGACCATTCAGCCTGGTTTCGTTTCTCTGGTTTTCGAAAGCTTGGTCTTGGTATTGGCAACAAATTATCTTGTTCACTTTTTCAATACATAGATGCCTGTAGATATAGATATGTAGGTTTAATTGCTTGGATGGTCTAGCAGCCAAGAAGTTGTCTTTGCGTAACACGCGATATGATATGTCTCACCTCACTGATCAAGACGGCCCGAGACGGACTCTCAGGGAATCATGTGGCCCGGATGTCTTCTATTCCCAGACCATCCATGCGTCATTTACCCCATTTGGCTGTGGGTCATGGCACCAGGATACCTTGCTTGATCTATGGAAGATCAACCTACCAGTATTCCATAGGTGTTCCGGGTTTTGACCAATCCCCATTTATGACCCTGCTGTAGTCTTCCATACATGGATGGTCAGGGATGGTCCACCATGTATTCCACAGGAATTCGGCACCGAAAGGGGGTGCCGAATCACATGCGCTTTTTGCCGCCCGGCTGCTGCAATATGATCAAACCGGAACCCCAGCACCGTGATCATCTCCATTTGGCGTTGAAGTTCATCCACCTACAATTTCTGACAAGGGGATATGTTTGAGCATTGCCAACAGGACCTGCACATATGCGTATGGTTATGTATGATAATGTGTGAATGTATGATATATGTTCCCAAATGTTCCTTGTCCTATATATGTTCCTATCTATAGGCCATCAGCTAGGCCTCAGCATCTAGTGGTTGTTTGGCCAGCATTAATGGCCGAGAAATCCTTGTGGAGGCTTGACTTGATGTTTGAATGGACATCAAGAGTAGCACCTCATGCTTTCGAGGCTGTACTGGATGCCAAAAGGAGTCATGCTCACGAAAGGGGCCACTGCCATCTCGCAGGAAGAAGGCACCAATCATCTTGTAGCCAGTACTGGAGCTGCAGCCAGCATGCAGGCTTCTGACATCATCCTCACCATTTGACAGGTAGTTGAACCTCAAAAGTCATGTGGGGACAAACACATTTCGCTCATTTTCACGCCATTGTTTTGGTCGTTCATCGTTGTGGGCACAAGTTGTGGACCAAACTCTCCGAACTACCTCGAAACATGCGTGGAAGCATCCAAAGTGCAAACAAGGAGCCAAAGGTACATTGTACCTTTCCTTATCAAACGCTGGGGTGCAACGTCACAGTTCTATTTGAGCTGATTGCACACCGCATGCAGCTGTCAAACGCTCAGCTTCACTGTGAAGAGTGTAATTGACTTCAGGTAGCTTTTGTGTCTCTTTCAATTAGCATCTTCGTGGAGTTGGAAGACCCACGAAGTCAACATGGGAGTTGTTAGAGTTGTTGGCATGCAACTGCGCAATCATGATATCTGCGTCGAATTCCAATGTGTCGGAACATCCCGGAACATCCCGAACATCCTCACCTCCCTCACTCTCAACTCACGACTGTTCCGACTGCTGCGACTCGTATTATTAGGGGAGGTTTCGCTTCCAACACAGACTATCACAGATTCCTTTGGATTCCGATCCAGCCACCCTCATTCCCTACTTTCGTCGCACAAGTTGACCGTGTTTTCCGAACGGTTTTGCACCCCACCGAGTTGACCGAACGACCGCGCCGACAGCGGACCCGCGCTCGGATCGTCGATCCAAGCTTCTCCGGCAAGACGGGGATCTGCGCTGTTCGGCCTCGCCTGGGCGGAGGTCACGGGGGCGGAGGTCTCGGGAGTGCCCCTGGAAGGAGGCCCTGGTCTGATGATAGATGTGAATGTCTGTGGTCCAAAGGAGTCTCTCTCTAAATATATGATACATATTGTAATTATATATAGTAAGCGATATGAGCAACATTTACTGAGTCCTCGGAAGGATGGGGAGCTGACTGGTGTGCAAGAATGTCTTGGGTCATGTCCCCATGTCCGTCACCAAGCAACCTACTTGTTGCAATGCACACATTCTGAGCATCCCTCAAATGTTGCGGACTTCAACAACAACTGAGACAATTCAGTCTCTCGTGAAATCTCAAAGACACACAAATCTAACCTTTTTGTGTACAAACTCTTTTGATGCCTCCAATCAGATCCTTCGGTGGTGAAACATGTGGGATGGATGTCAGCTTTTGGATATATGTTGGTTGACAAATGCTGTCCTTTGCACCCACTAAAATGGATGTTGGGGTTCAACTTCTGTGTTAATGAGTCAAAGGTCGAAGGGTACATACCAAAAGAACACAAGAGAACCACAACTCTCTGTTCATTGGCATTCTCCGATCCTCCTCGCCTGCACATCTCCTGAGCTTCCTTCAGCACGCGATGCCGGAAGCTGTTGTCCTCATTCTTGTCCACACGACGGTGTGCCTGCAGATCCAGGCACTAAAACCCTTCGAGGTTTCTAAGTGCGCACAGTGGTGAAACTAATGATTCCAAAAAGGAGAGGAAGCTGTGCAACAGCGGTGCGCATGCGCTTGAAATGCACAAGGTAGGTTAGGGTATCGTCCCGCTTCTTCTTTCCGCTTCTATAATGAAGAGCTTCTACCTAAACACTTACCACCCGCCCGTCTGCCTGAAACCCAGCCAGCTTGTTTAAAAAACAACAGGGTCTGAGTCATGCTCGGTGCTCGGATTCGCAACGACTGCAGTCGTACGACCACATATCTGGAGAAAATCCAACCCTCCATGTCAACGTCGGACTGCTCAGTTGTGCTTTGCTGTTTGCTAGCTGTTTGCTTGCGTTGACTTCCATGGATATGTGGTTGTCACATGGCATCTTCCATCACTCCTTAGGCCGTGGAGAAAAAAGAAACTGCATCCGAGGCTCATATGCGTGGGCATCGTTGGCCACCTCATCTGAGAATTGGTCCAAACCAAAAAGGAAGTTTGGAAGGAGTAGCACGAGAATAGCCCAACCCAGCAATTAGAGACACGCATCCTTGCCATTAAACAAGAAACTGCCCATACCAAAGCCGTGCCACATTCTTGACTTCAATGAAAAACAAGCACAGTCACAGCGCAGCATCAACAACAATGATATTATCCGCTCTCACATGGTTCCCACATGTTCCCACACAATTTCCTTCGGATCAACATGCATGAAACACCCATGTTGAACCATGCAAAACCTCATCATGTAAACCCTGTAGACCCGGTGAACACAAAACAACTGTATAAGTTCTTCTTCCAGTGAATGCTGATCTGTGCGATTTGTGTTTAGGACATTTCACCATCTTTCACCTTGTTTCACCACCGCAGTGTTCCGTTCAGAAAACATCCCCGTACAACATCTTGGATGTCAAGAGTTCTCACACCCCTTCGTCTTTCCATTTTTGCCGGATGTCTTCGCTTAGGTCTTTGCGTTTTATGAATCCCTATATCTTACTGCCTTCCTGACCGCTAAACCTGTGGGGGCATCTCCAAACCCTGGGAGTGCTCGCCCAGCACCATCGACTCTACACCAAGGGTGAGAACAAAAGAACGACACCGATTTTGGTTGAATAACCCCGGGGAGTCGATGCTGCGTTCCCATCCCGATTTCCCGATTTCCGGCGTTCATATTATGAGTCCCATTCTGGTCCCTAGCCTTCAGCAAATACCATGAATTGACAATACCCAAACAATCCATGCATGGCATACACTGGCCAGACTGTCTAGTTGCGCTTGTTGAAGTTCCAACTCATCACAACCCTGTTAGCCGGGAAACCCACACAATCTGATCTGGGATGGTGTGGGCGGTCATTTCTACCTCGGAACACCCTTATTCTTAATTTAAAAACGACGTGATAATTAACTGTCCCGCACCTGCCACACAATTTGGACTTGTTACTTCGATCCGCAGCAGTCCCAAGAGTGTCTTGAGAAGAGGGATGACAAGCATAAACTTCTATCTGCCTACATTTTAGTTGTTTCAGCGGTTGTAGGCAACATATTCCGATTCCAGTCCCATGATGTGCTTGGGATCTCCTCCCGCACTTCGAAACTCGCCGGGTCTCGACGAAGTGGCTTGCAGCATGCGCTCCTCATTCAACACTCGTTGCCAGGACTCGATCTCCTCGTGCTCCAGGGCCAGCAGGCTGCTGCCTCCAGTGCCTCCTGGAAGATGCTCAGCACCCGTGTGGCAGCGGCGCAACATGATACGTGACATGATAGATCAAAACCGCAAGGGTCTTTTACTTGCAAAACAAACACGGAACCAGCATCAAGTTTGGAAAGGCTGGAAGAAAGTGGGAATATGGGAGGGATCTGGAAGGTCCAATATTCATCATATTCTATCTACCATTGCCAACTACTATACATGGCTTTGCGCCTGTCCATTTTAAATAGTATTATATAAAAGGATTATTTGCAAGAAACGGACATAGGAAACTGACTGGATGGAACTCCTGTTTTTGAAAGCAACATATAGCCATAGGGAACGTGTGAATGACTATCCCATGATCCAGAACCACAGCTCGTTTTCATCTCCCCGTTGCAACAAACATCTAAACATCAGTATACCACAGTATGTTTAGTTTACCTGCTCTTGAAACATCTTGAAACCACCCTTCTGGACAATCAGAAACCAAAACACTTCGCTGACGGCTGAACACACGGCTGACGGTCCGAAACTGTCGAGGAGGAGCGGGAAGACAGTGCCTCCGAACACTGTTAGCGCTCCCAAGGAAAACGTGTGAAACTCGGTCGGAGGTTTCTGACTCATTTTTACTCATCATCATCATAGTCACAGCATGTCCGCACTTCCTGTAACCAAGTTTTCATCCCAGCTGCATGTGTTCTGCAAGTATGTTATCACAATGCATGCCGAGAATTGTAGCCTCTTTTGCAGCAACAAGGGGCAATAAAAAACGACTTTGACCCACACTCGCTTCAGTTCACTTATCAAAGCAGTGTATCGCTGTCTATTCCTGCCTCCATCTTCGTAGTCATCCAAGAACAGTGACACAGAAAGATGGCGATGCGGAAACAAATACTTGTTGAAGTTGTCCAAATGCAGGTTGGCCGGAACCGATCCTGTTGCGCGGGGTTCAGTCACTTACATGTCAGTAGTTTTCTGCAGCCTGCCAGTACGTTGCCGGGTTCCACATATATCAAACATACAAAACATATTATAATGTAATAACATGTAATGAATTATTAGTATATATATACATATCATTGATTTCCAAAAGATCAATTGATCCATTGAAGCACCAGTGTTGTTTCATCAAACATCCTGCCCACAACAATTTGTGCAACAATGGAGGCAGGAACTTGCAACCTTTACCCCTCAAAAGAGCCTCAAGATACACAAGAAAACCAGAAGGCCCCTGCATTCAGTTTTTGTTGGTGCAATCAACCACCACAAGAGCTTAATAGACTCAGCAAATCTCAACAGTCATCATCAGTAAACACCTCACATGTTTGGGAAACAAAACAACCGACAAACACACATCAAATGATAATAAACAATGTTCATGGTCACTGGACCCTTCATCTGCTATTAGCACGTGCCTTCATGAACGTTGGAGAGATTCGTGATCGTGTTTCATCTGCCAAAAAACAACTCGAGTCTCTCTAGAGGCCCCATTGTAGGCTCATGACTTTGTTCTGCAAAAGCACCGGTGGCTTGCCACGAGTCTCTGTCGCGTCCGAAGCGCCGCCTGGCACATAGATGTGGTAGATGGGTTCCACGTTGTTGGGATGGACACCCGACATCTTGGCCACTCGCTGGATCATCCGCACCATGAAGTCCGGAGGCTCGATGAAATAGAAGGACAGATGCCCTGAATCCTTCGGATCCGGGTCCGATGCATGGCTCTGCTGCCGGTTGGAGAAGAAGTGGTCAAAAGCATCAACCGGTCAAATAACCAGTTCAGCGGTGCAGATGACTTTTTTCAACATGAACAGAGTTGCTATAGTGGTCCACCTTCATAGAAGGAATTCATGTCTAGATGTAGAGGCAGCAGCCGCAGAATGCCGGGCCATTCGCCCAGACCCTGCCTGTGATCTCAGCAAAGGCCTCCCACGCGCAGATTGTCACGGAGAGGAAACAACGACTCGGCGTCCGAGCATTTGTCGATGTTCCGATCCCCATGTATACAAGCATCGAATCTGCTACTCTGCTGCTGCTCTGCTGCTGCTCTGCTGCCGCTCTGCTCTGCTCTGCTGCTGAGTCTCCTGCAGTATGCTGTTGCTGCTGATTCTTGGTCGAGTCTGCTGCTCTCCCCAAACTTGAGCTCCCAGCAAGTTGTCGGTGTTAACAGTTACATTGTCATCATATTGTGTTATCAGTATATTTCAGGGTCGGTAGGGTCGGGGGCTCCTGGATTGGGACGCGCGAAAGAAAAGGGGCTGGTCTTTCGACACGTGGTGGTTTGTTGTCGGATAGTGAGGAGTCAACAAAAACAAATAACATTTCAACAAACTTGGTCCCAACCAGTATGCCACACTTGGTGAGTGGACCAAGTATGTCCCTTCTTCAGAACATACACACAAACCTTTTCGACCTAGTATAATCTATTCGTCAACAACCCAAAAAATATGTGGGTGCGGGTGCATATTAAATTAAAGCTGTTTAAACAGGGAAACCTCCCACGCAACGACCCCCCTGGAAGAAGGGACATAAACAAAAAAAAGCAAACATGATAGCCAGGGCCAGGGGGTCTTCCCGGATGGCCCACGAGTTCAAGTCTCCGACGTTCGGAAGAAGAACCTTCGACCAACTTCGATCCACCACCCGTTTTCGTTTCGCCTCGCGCCTCGCGCCCAGATCTCCGAAGCGCTGGTGCATCTCCTCCGAGGCGTTTTGGAGGACGTCGGCGCCGGGGCGCAGGGCGACCCAGGGCGAAGTGTCGCCAAAGTAGATCAGGGCCTCCAACCTGAGGGTTTTGGTGTGGGTGTGGAGGTGGTGGCATGGGGGTGCGCGCCCATTTCTGAGTGGGGGAATTGGAAGGGAAGCTGTTTCATAGGTGCTGTTTGAGTGTTTTCTTGGGGAATTGGCAAATCTTTGATTTCAAGTGGTGCCAGTGCCACAGGATGCGAATGAAATCGTTCAAGTGTCGAAACCAGGTGTCCTTGTGGTTTGAGATCCACCAATCTTCAGTGTGGTTTGGATCATTGGTCACTTCTTGGATCACTCATTCCGGGAACGATATTTGAAGACAGATGACCGGACCCTATTTGGAGTGTGTCAACCGTGCTATGGCCAAGGTGCACAACAAGCTCGACTCAAACCGCTGGTGGACACGAATAGCTCAACTCTTCAGGCTTGATACCCTGAAAAAGCCACAAGAACTCGTCATCGCCAACAAACCAAATGAGTCTACATCCTGCTCAAGATAGGATATTGCATTTGGCCCACCCCACAAAGCAACGGTTACCACTAAGACTCCTCAACATTGGGGTTGGACAACGGATCAGCTGGATATTCTTGGGTGTGGGGAAACTACTTGGTGTACAGTGTCACGACTTATTATCTGCCGGACAGAAGCTAAGAGCCTGACATGAGGAAACGGATCAGTGCACATTCCTGGAGAAGACGTGTGATCGGTTTGACACAAAGAAACGTCGCCGGTCTTTGATCTTTTGGAACTCCAATGCGCCGTTATATCCGAAGCTTCAACATCTGCCTTCAACTAAAGAACCTAAAAGCAAGTCAAACCGACCAGTTTGCGGTAGAAAGTCACAGAGACAACAAACTGAACCACTAACCTACCTAAAATGAGGAGGCCTTCATTTTCCAATTGTGGCAAATCAACGTGCAACCTACACATGACACTGACAATCAGTGGACTCTTTTATCAACAGGCCCCAACCCACGAAGACAATAATTACCGACCATGCTTGCTCTCAAACCAACCCCCAACTGTTCTGCAGGCCCATGCTTCTACTGCGAATATATTCTCCATTCACTAGGATTCTGGGCCCACCAAAAAACCCTCACAAATCTATCCTCACCTCTCCCACCCCCGCAAGCAGAGCACCCCAAGGCATGAACAGCTAGCTCGGCTCATCTTAAATCTTCTTCACAACCCAGAACAACCATATTATTGACGACACCCCGGAACCCAAAAGCGACGGCACCAAGCGGCACCTGAGCGCTGAGCAGCCCACGAAAGCGGATGATCTTCGGGCTGACGCTCAAGAGATCGACGTCCAGCAGCGGCTCAGACTGCTCCGACTCCATCGGTGGCTCCAATGTGGGTGATGTGGGTGATGGGTTCGCTAAAGGACAAACTGGTGAATCACTGGTATCCCCCATGGTTAATTGATGTTAATTGGATCTGCAAGCTTGAATGAACTTGACCACATCGCCATGTGTAGACCATGGCCGCACCGTGGCTTTCTCTCATGGCGATGTACCGGGTCACCGCCGTAGGGTGGACATCGAGGACAAGACCTTTGGGAACGTTTGTCCCACATACGCCCTGCGGTGCATCCTTACCTTTATGGAAGCCACCGGTGACATGAATTGGGTGCGGGTCTGGACATGCAAATGTAAACACTTAATGTAAAACAATGTCAAACATGTTAGTTGAACATCAAACACAGCTGGTATTGCTGGTGATTCGTGATTCGTCCAGGCAAGAGAATGGTCTAGTCTGTTGTTGACTAAGTCACCTCGGACATTGCAAAGTGAAGAGCAACACATGTGGCTTCAGAATGCTTCAGAGATCACGTGCAAAGACCCCAAACTCGTTTGGGCAGTTGGTGAGTGTGTACTGAGTCTACTCCTGGAGACGTCCAAGTCTGCTGGGAACGTCATGCAGTTCTCAAGGGAGTTTCAAACCTCGAACCCCTAAGCCTGTGGGACCAGTGGACTGTTTGGAATCATTTTCCAATCCCAATTGTTCTCTAGAGTTTTCTTGGAAGTTGATGACGGAGAGGGAGTGCTCGCTGAGACATCTAATCTAAAAGGTAGAGCGCATATGACCCATCACCATACTAAGTAGATCTAAGTAGTATCTGAGTAGTGAAACTGACTCATGACCAACCCCAATGCCTGGCACTAACCACTACATCAATACTACTACATTGGTGTGATTCGTCTATGGGCCTATGAGGTGAAAGAATTTGGCCCTGACACCAAACGGCATCCTCCACCGAGCGCCGGGCGGGCTGAGACTTGCACTTAAACAAAACACAAAAACAAAGACAACAACCAACAACATCCCGGACACAACTGATCCGGCGCGATGGCCTCCTACCTAGTAGATTCCAGACATGAGGCGAATGGCGCTCCCTCACATGCTTTTTGTTCTCAGCTGTGGGGTCGAGGCTCACCTGCTTCACGCGGAGCCTCCCAAACTGCTTGCTTCATTCGTGACCAACATCTGGATGTCCAGGTCCAACCACTATGAGTCCGGCCAGCTCCAACCACTTTGGGGCCGACTGTGTATAGAACCCAAAGAGCCCCAACAAATTCCAAGCCTAACCCCTAAAGTAATGATCGAAAAGGGCCAAACTCATCTAAAGAATTACAATCCTGCATAAGGTGCCAATGTCAATACCCTCCGGATCCATACAACTGGTACTCCAAAGCAGGGTCCAACAGGTTCTATGTTCCAAGGTGTTGTAGGTGTATTGCGGTCCTTGCATGCCACTGCTACATACCTCAAGGGCTGCAATGCCATAGAAGTGCTTGGAATGCTGCACACTATCCACAACTGACTGATGAAACCAAACACCCTCTGGTTTCAACCAGCAACATCACTACGCTTGTAGGCTGGAAGTCCAGCATTATCTGCCTCTCTACTGCCCAGCCATCTTGGGACCAATGGACTGTGGAAAAGAGTTCTCTCCAAATCGGTGCCTCCTGCATGTTCGCGAAGGCCGTAGAGGCACGGGCCTCGACTAACTTCACTTTGAACGAACTTTCAGAGTTTGGAGGCTACAGAAGCTACAGGTCAGGCCGTGGAAGTCAGGCTGGGTACTGTATCGGCAAAATGAGGTGTGGGATTCCTTTCATCCGTCGAGTCAGTGTATAGTCAATCATTCAATCTTCAGATACACTAATCTGCTCTTTCGGGAACCTTGGGGGTGCATGGGGTTGCTAATGAAATTTCTATCCCTTAGAGCGCTGTCGATGGCAGTGTGGCTGCGGCAGCACGGAGTCTATGCGTCCTTTTTTGCCGCCGTCAGCCGTCCTTTTCAGTCTCCGCTGGAATGACCCTCACCGGGCCAAGATATTCCATCATCAAGATTCTGCCTGCCGTGGACAAGCCCACACAAAAGCAGGATGACCGTCAAGAAGTCAAGAAGCCAGAAAAAGAACAGATCAGATCCTTGATCCTTGGACATTACATCCCCTGGAGGCAGAAGTTTAGTGACAAAAGAATGTTAACCAGGATGAATGTCCTTGATAGTGAGTCATGCACTTCCAGGTAGTAGTACGTTTGACACCAGTTCTGCTAGACTCAGTAGACCCCTGGCCCCAGCGTCGAGCAAACCCGGTTTCTGTAGGGCGTCCCATCGAAAACACGGAACGGGTTGTAAAGCACTTGATGCATGTTGTGCAGTGGATCATGAGCCTATGGAATGAGGGATAATATCGGAAAAACAGAGACAAACAACAGTTTCATAAGGATTCTATCCCTTACAGTACGATCCATGTATTGGACAAGTGTGTGATACCTACGTTGATCCCTTTTGCCAGCTCAATTGCTTTGTCAATCCGTCCGTGCCAACCGCCTTCCCGCTTGGTGCTTGCCTGCTGCCAGCACGCTCACACAGCTCCAGAAGAGCGCAGCGTAGCCCGTAGGACCCACCTGGTGAAGGAAATATATATATATATGTGTGATAAAGATAGGGGAGCTCCATCTCGTATGATCATGTTTGCGTCGGTCAACATTTGTTGTGGAGTTGCTGGGAAAAACACAGGACTATCTCAGTGCATGATCATGTGTCATGCCCGTCATGTTATTACTTTTGGTGAGTGTGTTAAGTTGTTTTTTGAGCAAATCATGCCGTTTTGAAATCCCATGACCCCTCACTGACCATGTGTCACTTTGACTCATGTTTGAGCCTAGCTCGTATACAAACTCTTTTCTCGGTTGCCGGTATGAGTATGCTTTGCTCTGCGGAGTATGCTCAAGGAGCATCCTTGTCCATGCTTCCAGGCTTCAGAGTATGTCGCAACATTGGAACCTGGTGCATTTCCAGGTTGATATCTGGCACTCAAAAAAAGATACACCCACCAATGAACCAAACTCCTATTTCCGGGGAATCCAGTAGATGGCTCCAAAAAAGCATGGGTCATTTAGGTGAAAGAACATCACCCGGTCAGCCGGATGTCTCACTTTCCCGGTCCCTTGAGCGAGCTCGCGCAGAAGACACAGGCCTCGCCATTGCGGAAACGTGCCAACAGCAGGAGAAAGAACCTACCGAACGTGGCAGCTGACGGCGGAGGGCAGCGCCATAAGGTCCAAAGGGGCGTGGTCGTGGACGACTCTCCAGCTGGATGAACCAGAGCTAACGGATCTGTAGCACTCCCTCGTCTAGCATATTCGTGCAGCAAATCTGTATCCAAATCTGGAAGGGTGGCGATTGAACCCATTTGAGGGTAGCGATGGCTGATGATTTGGGCTTGGATTTACCAAAATCAGCCATCACAGATGCGGCATTGATTAATTGGCTTTGTGGGTTTTGTCTTGTACCTTCCAACTGCTTCAAAAACCGACTGGGACGGAACATCCGGAAAGCCACACCCGAAGCTGCCTCCAGATCATGGATCCGAAGTTCTGAAACTCGGTGAAGCGCATGTTCACCAGGTGTAGCCACCAGAACAAGCTGCTCAGCCTGGAGACTCCCAGGTCTCTTTCTTCACTGCACCATATTACTCAGCTACTCAGCTTTTTTTTCGCCTGTCCCGAAGGCATGGTTGTTCTCGCCTAGGTGTACAATTCCTGAGAGCAGTTGGTAGGATGCATCCTAATGACTCGAATGCAACGATGCTTTTGTCAAGGAAGCTTCCATGCACTGCTTTCCAAATGGGAGCTTCCGTGGCCAAGTGTGACACAAACCACATGAGACCGGATCTTTACCACGACCTGCCATTGTGCTTGACCGGATCTTTACGTTTCGAAGAGACCCAAATCAGCACAAGACCGGTTTGGATTCCAACAGGAGGGGTTCCCACTTGTGGTCATGGGCCCATGGGCCAGTAGTGTGGAATGGAATGGAATCAATTACTGTAGAAGCTACATCATGCCACTGCTGCATCTAGCCCAGCTGCATCATGCCACTCACCGCCAGGCACAGTTCAGGCTCTCTGGGCAGGAAACGAGCTTGGTGGTCATAACCGAAGACCTCACCAACTCAGAGGTTGGGCCAACGGAGGCCACCAGACCTCTGCAGCACATGCATGGCCCCGGAAAGGAAGACCAACCGGGTGGTGCCATCCACGGCCCCCATGTGGTGCCAACAGGAGTGTCTGTCGAAATAGTGGTCAATCTGGTGCCGATGGAACTAGTGGATCACCGTTGGATAGCAGCGGATCAGGTCCAACATGGATAGAGTTGATGAACAGCATCTCCACCTAAGATGTCCTAGAAGAATGGCACCTTTCAATACTATGCCTGAATGGAAGTGCTTTCCATGCAACATCCCCGAAACATCTCCGAAACGGCAAGAAACCTCAGAAAGGAACCAGTGTCTGTGTCTGTTTTATTCTGGTTCTTCACTTCGACTGGTTTTCATGCTGGGCCACGTGTACAACATCACTCTCACTGTTTCCATTGACAATAGACATCCATCTCAGCCAGGAATCCACTAAAACCCGACAAAGGGTCGCTGAAACGAAGCAAACCACTCCGCCAAAAAAGCTCAGGCTGCAAAGCAAGTACTCCTCAGTCGCTCGTCGCGCAGTTCTGCATCAGACCCCAACTATTGCCACTGCATTCCGAGTCTGGAGCAAACCCCTGGTTTCACCACGATCACCATGAGAATTGGGATGACTTTTGAGGGAGCCTTTGGCACTCCTAGCGTTTGCCACTCCAAGTCGAACCCATGTGTGGCATAAACCCGGCAAGAGTTTGCTTTCCCACCTATCTGGTCAAGACCTCTACGAGCGCCTTGGGACATCATGCCACACTAGGATCCCGTAGATCCATAATCATGGACTGTTCTATCAAATCATATCAAATCTGTAAATGTCTGGTCGTAGGACCGTAGGATTACTGTACATGAATCTAATTACGATAGTTACGTACTTTTACATACTATTACCATGGGGCTGTCTTCACCCAACACCACTCAAAGATGGTGTTGCCCCACCATGTTTCATCAAACAAATCCATGTCCAGCCACAAATGGATGCTCGATGCACCTGCCCGCATGTGGTTAAAAGGCCACTGAACAACTGGTGGAACGAACGGGTGGTTTTTTTTCGGGTCGAAGGTCGAGTACCATCGAGTGGATCCGATCCATCGATCCCAGCCATACAAAGAATATCAAAGAATCAGGCATTCGGCCCAGGCGCAAACGCTGCTCTAGCTCGGGGTTTCAGGGTTGAAAATGGATACTGACTGCAGCAGGCGCTGAATTGAGTGGGAACTTTAACATTGAGAGTCATCATATCATATCATGTCATATGATTTCCAAGGTGAGAACAAGTCAGGCCATACAGTTATATAATGCTATATGGTTCCATGATTGCCAAGCCCATACAGTACAATTCATCTCCAACCAATGAGCATTTGCCACGACCTCAGTCTCTCAGTTTTGTTAGGCTTGCTGGCTTTCCGTGTATCATCTATGTCAACCATGTCAGCCTCCAGTCGACAGACCTGCAAGTTCAACGGGCCGGTAAGTTCAATGGGAGGGCACCCTCCATAGGCCTCTAATCTTCCTACATCTTCCCTTTCTCCAGACCGACTAGAATGTGACACATCCCAGAAATGTGCCAAGGCTCGAACTCTAAATTGGCCATGATGAGATCCTCGTGCTCCGGCTGGACTTGACTGGACTGCTTGGACGGCGCATGTTATGAAGAATGAACCCGCTGCATGGTCATCCACTCTGGAAAGTTCTGCACACGAGTTCCTGACTATGGTAATGTCGTGATGCAAGGTGAGCTCTTCCCCCCGAACACTACCAGGTAACCCATTTTGAGAGAGACCTCACTACTTCACCAAATTAGACATGCTGCTGCGTGACATGCCATTCATTGGTGATGACGGGGCTCCATAGCTGTGGGTTCCAAGGCAAGGCCCTGTCGCCCCAGCTCCAGCAGTTGCACGTGAGCGTTGGAGGTCTCCAAGACCGTAGTGAGCTCAAGACAGATCGTGGCAGAGGCCAACAAGACATAGACCTCAGCAAAGACCACAAGACACAGGTCTCACTGTCTCAGCTCCATCTCACAGGGCTCAAGAGCTGAGCTGCTCCATGGAGACGGGGTTTAGTGAGGACCGGTCAATTGTGAATGGAAAGCAAATGGGACTAATCCTGACAGAGGTCAATCCTGAATAGCTGGTAAGAAGCCTCACTCTACTTGTTGGTAAAGCAGGGAAGAAGAGACCACAGGGGGTGATTGATGATAAGCCAATTCAGCTGCTGGGTATCAAGCGCTACAAACATTGTAAATGTTGAGTCAACTAATGTCACTATGTCCATCAATTAAGGACATATCTCATGGTTGAACAAGCACGAACCAAAACCTCTCCAAATGGGATGATCCAAGTACAGCCAGCCACTGTACAGCAACTCTGGGTCGACAAATGAATGGCCAGGAGGATAGCTCAAGCTTGACCAATCATGTGGGGGACAAACAATTGAATCCTGGAAGTAAACGGCTTTTTAAATGTGTGTATAATTTGATGAAATGATGTATCAGGATGTATCAGGATGTATCGGCTGTCCTGCTGGCGTTTTGGCGGATCTGGCACAAAGGTGTTACTAGATCCGCACAGTACCAGCAGGCAAATACAAACAACCCTCCGAGTAGATACAAACAAGAATGCTGTGTCCGAGTTCAGTTTACCCCAGCTGAAGGCACCTTATGTGGATGGTTGCTACCTATCTACAGGACAGGGAACATAGAAACAACGCCGGAACTAAAGGTCCAAGGCACACGATACAAGAACTGAAAGACCTGGCGGATGGGTTCCCACGACGGAACAACGAGGAGTCGTGATAGCCTGAAGCACCCACTATCTCAATGGCCTATTCGAGCCAGCCAAACCCTGAAGTTCATGTTTCATCTATGGAATTTACAGGAATTTACCCAGATCATCTGAAGTCCAGTTCACCCCTATCATCAAGGCCTTGATTCTCACCTTGCCATACACTTGCTCCGCTAACTGCACTTTCACCATCCTTGCCATCCTTACCTCACTTCAAGGCCGAAAAACAAGATCAACTAGAATCGCACCTTGTAGGGCTGCTGCGTTTGGTCCGAGAAGGAGAATTTTGCCGGAGGCATGAAGAGAAGCCTTGTGAGAACTTCGGCCATCTGGAGGCTGGGGTGTTGTTCTTTCTTCCGACCGGTCTTGGTGGAAGTTGTTGCTTTGTTGCTTGGAATGAACTGATCGCGCAATTCACAATGTCGGAATTTCAGCATCCGTCATCGCAGAATCATTAATCAAAATACAAAACGGGCAATCGGAGCACAACATGAACTCCCGGTCGCCGTTCAGGGATGAAATTGTACAACATCCTCTGTGGCGACCCTCGGTTTACCGATTCACATCCCTGCGGCTGAAGGGAAAAGGCAGTTCTGGAAACCAAATAAGAATGGAGCCCCTGGGATTCGTCACCATAAGGGTGTGTGTTGAAATAGGGACAGCTCCCATGCGGACCCTGGAAGAAGGAACATAGAGTGGTCTCTCCTCCAGGGCCGTTTGCCGGGCCAAGGCACCCCAGGGCCGCAGAGCCGATCAATGCAGCCGGGGTGAACATGGTCTCGCTGAAGAAGCGCACCGCGTCATCCTCGATGCACCAGGCGCGATGCGTCAGGCGGTTCGTGAGTTGCAATAGGTATAAACTGCGACAACAACACTCAGTGTTTCGACCAAAATACAAAAAATGTTTTTAATCCAGAGGGGGGCTCACAATGGTCCTAGGCACTTGGAAAAAACACATACAATCTATACTTCTGTGGACGGGCACTCACTCAAGTGTTTCACCACGCAGTGTTTGTACCAAAATGGACGGGAATAATTCCAAAAGTCAGTTTTTCTTCTCTGTGCACTGCGACAAACACCTCTTGTATTCTCGATTGCACCTTGCAGTCGGGCCGCAGGGCCCCACATCCCCGCAGGGCTGCATCCAAGGATCCAGTTGTGTTTTGACCTCCGGTTTCAGCGGTTTTGCCCAGTCATCTTGTTGACCCAACTGAAGCCCGCCACCACCCGCGAACTCAGAGCGTGCCTGAAGGGCCACATCTCATGGAATTCAAAGAAACATCATTTGGACATGTAGAACTAAACATGACCACGATCGGGTTCATGTCACATGGCCATGCAACGACTGACCAATACAAAATTAATTTCCGGCCCTCATTTCCTACAACCAACATCAACCAACAATCATGAAAATCGGGTTCCAACATCTTTCTTCACACCTGTCGACCACGCCACAGTTCCCGGTCCCACCGTACCCCGCCCCGCCACGCCTGGCGTCGGACACGTCGCTCCTCGAAGGAATTCAAAGGCCTCCGCGCCGCCTGACGAGCCTCGAATGTGTGCTAGCAGGGAGGGAAGTTGGCGATTGTTCTGGGAGATCATCAAGTTCTAGTTCTGGCGCGTGCCTCATCCATTAGACACAAGTGCATCTGATCCATTATAGGGCCAGTAGGTTGCAAGGAGCATGCTCTCACAGCACCGTGTGCTCTCACAGCACCATGTGATCTCGCAGCACCGTGTGCTCTCTCAGCACCGTGTCTCGGAGCACTGTGGCAGCACCGTGCTCTTGCTGGACTCTGCTCCGCCCAAACAAGAGCGGCAAGAGCGATGTCCAGCGACCGGGTGGATCGGGGTGCCTATCTCCAGTGGGTTATATACAAGCAACATGTTCACATCTATTCCGGTGCATCCAAGTGTCCACGGACACAAAGAAAAATCAAGTATAGTTGGAACCTATACCGCTTTTTGATCCTTTTTTTTATAGTCCTTAAAACAACATAGGTGCCGTAGTGCAAACTGGGTGAAATGGATCTAAATCTTTAAACTGAAACTGCCTTCCCTCTTGACTCTTAAATGTATTACTCCGATGAAAAATTGATGAGGTGATTGTTTTAATTGCGCCAGGTTTAGGTATCAGGGGCATTCAGGTGTGTTGCGCCATCTATGCGCCCCGTGGCTAAAAAAAGGAAGGTTCTCCATGATTCTGCGCCCTATTTTGAAGAAAATAGCGGAGATTGGGACCGCGCCATCGTTTGGGCCTCCGTAAGAGGAAATCAAAAGGAATCAAAAGGACATTAATAGGATTCAAAAGGACATCAAAAATAAATTAAAAGGACAAACGGATATCAAAAAGAAATCGAAAGGAAATTACTGTAAACGGAAATCAAAAGGACATCGCAATTAAAAGGAAATCAAAAGGAAAATAAAAGGAATCAAAAGGACATCAGTAGGATTCAAAAGGAAAGCAAAAGGAATCAGACATGTACAGAACTTGGCCATTGGGCCATCTATAGGCCCCAAACCGCACAAACATCCCGCATAATTTTAACTTTCTGCACCCCAAAGACCAGTTGCGCCATCTATGACGGCCAAATAGCGAGAAAAAGGAGATACATGGCGCGGCTGTTCCTGCTATTTTGTTTTTTGAGTTGCGCCAACAACTTTCCAAATTTCCAAACCCTGTAAATGATAATATATGAGTTTCCATGAAATTCTTGACAAATGGATTCGACGTCCCAGCAACCCTCTTGCATGTTGATCAAGATCGAACATGTCTGAAGTCTACCCCCCAAGTGAGCCTGGCCTTCTTAACCGCTTCGATCTCAACTTCTGCGAGCTCTTTCAGCTTCCGCTTTCGCTCCTGTTCCTCCAATGCCTGTTGCCGCTTCATGGCTTCTTCTTCGTCCTTTTTCCTGGGTTTTTGCACCAGGTGATAGCAAGACTCTTGCAAGACCTTCCGTTGGATTTGGCTCCCCAACACGAAAGCAACAACAGTCAACCTATTCTTTTCATTCTTACCGTACAATTTGTTCTTGTTTGATACCCACCCAGGCTGCGCCATTTTTTCAGCCCTCGTGCCACTTCGCTCAAATTTATCTTGGCAATTCTACACAAAAGCAAAGAAAAAAGCCGGCCCCTACGAAGAGGGGCCATTTTGTGTTGGTGACATTGCATTGATTTGATTGATGTGCATGTAAAACAATCCGTTCTCCGGGTCTCCTCTGCTTTTCTTTCTCCCTCTCCTCTGCTGCGATCCGCTTTGCCTCGATCTCCTTCCTCAGACGGAGCCATTGATGTAGGATGATGCGGGGAGAAGATGGTAGAAGGCTCAGGATGGAGGGAACTGAGGGAACCCGAGAGGACCTTCTGGTACTGCTTGAGATTCAGCAGAATTATATGGACGTGCCTTAAATTAGGAAGGCCTCCCAAAGACCCTTGGAGGAAGGAAAATAGACCAAAACCCTCCGAAACCCATATTGGTTGGAGATCTCCCTATTGAAATACACACCGCATACGTTGGGATGTTTGACCACCGCAAGAACCCCCTGGGATCCCCCGGACTTGGTGATTCGGTAGCTAGGCTGCTGGGCTGAACACATGAGAACAGCTGTGACCCTTGGCCCTGCAAGTCATAACAAAAGGAGATCCTCCTGAGCATGAGACCCTCGGTAGCTTCTTCTTACTAGCGATGGCCTCCAACCTAGTGATGGCCTCCACCCAAAATCGTGTCCTAATAGGGTAACAAAAAGCTGCGTTCACACGGCAATTAAAACCTGAATCACCATTCTTTTTTGATGTGGTCTGAGCAATTCACATCCCAACAGTCTGAGCTTCTCCTTCTCCAGCCGCTGCTCCTCTGCATTCCATGGCCATGTGATGGCCACACCCAGCTGCCCACTGTGCCGCCCACTGTCGAATACCAACAGCGACACCGCCAGCAGCGACCAGCGAAGCCGACGTCGAGCCATGTCAAGGGGAGGGCGGATCCTTCTTAGGTGAGGTGGGTTGAGGATCCTGTCAACATGCTCAGAACCTCTACAATGTTTGTTTTGATGGATGGATCGAGGGTTGGGTTGGTCGGAAAAGCTCAAACATCATGGACCACAATGGATGGGAAAGCCAATAAGTGGTAAGGATGGTTGTCCAGCTTCGTCGTGGGTGCTCTCATCAAGAATGTTCACAAATGTCTTGTCCCTGACCATTCGGATCTAGGAATCTAGGACCAAGGGTTCAAAGGCCTCGTGTATCAGCAATTAGCTTGATAAAATTTCAAGTCAAGGGCTTTGAGCAGTGCAAGTGGTCGTCATCACGGGTGTGCATAAACATGTCTCAACATGGGGCCGCCCACATGCTCCTGATAGGTCTTTCCACCAAACGGAAAAAACAACAAAAACAAAAACCAAAACAAAAAAACAACAACAACAACAACAGCAACAGCAGCAACAGCAACAGCAACAGCAACAACAGCAACACCAGCAACACCAGCAACAACAACAACAATTCATGGCAATTCCAACTGAATTGAACCAAATAGACACTCTCATGTTGACTCGTCCTCCAATGAATTTCCGTGGGTCATGGGACTCTCTCTTCGTGACCGGACCCAGAAGCCGCTCGCCGACTCGGCAGCAGAGGACAGCCTGGCGGATGGAGCAAGTCCGGACCTTGGAAACATGAAGGTGTGTATTAATCTAGGGAAAACCTCTCAAAGACCTCCTGGAAGAAGGACAGACCCATCTACCATCATCTAGCATCATCTACTTTTTGGGCCACCCATGTACACACCCAGAATACACACCCATGTATACATGTACAAAGCCCGTCAAAACCCATCAAAGTCAAGAGATAGCCTGGGATGCTGGGACACCCAGCAGCCTGCAGGGGATTCTAGACTCTGGTCTATAGACTGAGTGGATGGAAGCTATTCAGAAAGGATACAGAATGGCTCAGAAAGGTAGAGCCTGAACAGTATCCTTGGCATGACATCATGAGGGCCATATGAACATAACGTACCTTAAGAATACAAATAATCATGTCACATGTCCGCCAAGAGTTCTAGGGAGTAAATGCAACAACAATGTGACGAGGTGTTCTGCAATTCCTTGTGGTTAACTCTGCGACTCCTCGCGGCCAAACAACGAGAAACGCTCGACGCAAGACATTTGACCCACCTCTTCAAGGTCAACGCATCGATATCGACTAGCTAACTGTGTACTTTGCATGTATTCTGTACCCAGCGTTGTTCTTCTTTCGGGGCAGCTCAGAGAACTCAAAAACATGAGGGTTGGAACATGTTGGAACTGTTGGAGAACACTTATATATAACACTATATTATATAGATGTGCTGTAAACTCACCTCAGGTTGGAATGTTCACATACCTTCCAGCTGGAGCACTGCAAATGTCTGCCACCGATGGATTTCCCACCTGGCAGCTGCAGTGTTCGCCTTTGTGGGCGCTTGGTCGGACAGCGCTGGTCGGAGCGTTTGACATCTCCGAGACCAACCAGAAGATCGGAAGGCCGTCCACTTCGGTACACTCTGAAAGGCGGTTGGAAGTGGGTTGCAAATGGTCTTCCCTTCAAGGCCATTTGGGAAACAATCCACTTGCATGCGACGTGTTCGTCAGTCCGGGTAGTTGTGGTTTCAAGGACAGGTTTCTTCGGAAAGGTGAGGCTTCTAGATTGGAGAAACAATCCACTCACACACACACATTCACATCATTTACGATTCGCCAAATTGGTACCTCTCTGCTCTCTCTCTCTCTCTAACCAACTGCAAACATGCATCGGGTAAAGCCCAGAGCCCCAAGAAAGGCAGTGGACCAGCAAACACATTGTCACCAGCTAGACTGCTAGAGTACGCTACACTTTCTCTACTAGACTGGTCTCAGCCATCCTGGAAATGTTTGAGTCATGGCCATACGCCCTGTGCGAATCCCAATGATAAATCCAGCTGTTCACAGCCCTCAAACCACCATCTGGACACCAGAACTGGCTAGAGAAACCGAAGCCACAAAGATACTCTCCCGCTTCTAGACTACAACTTACAGGCACAGAGGGCGAGCCGTTACGTCTCTGAGCTGGCCCGCCGTCTCGGAGCCGGCGGCCTCGGCGGCGAACCTGCAGGTTCCGGTCGGACATGACCAGGTTCCGGTGACATCTTGTAGCTTCTTGTTACTCTCTTGTTAGTAGCGATGCCTTGTTACTAGGAGAGAGGAGCTACTACTAGTGATGCCCTTTGCTGCTAGTAGCTTCTTAGTTCCTAGTTGAACAGAAAACATATGGGTTGGTGTAGATTCACGCAAACACGACCATGAATTCTGAATTGATCCCACTAAAAAGAGGTACAGACTAGGGCACTGTGGAGCAATGGTTCTGGGTGGCGTTGGTTTCCCAAGGGGATCCGACGATCCGACACGCAGACGGAGGCACCCTTCGGAGGCAACCGTTCCGCCCAGGCCAGTCACGGCGGGCACCCAACAGGAAGATCCATATCGCCAACACGACCGATGGGACTGTCATACAGACCTACATTGGGGGTGCTTGAAGAGGGGTCACTCAAATATCAGAATCCAATGCCACCCGAAGAGGGACAACCCGGCACATGCTTATCAACTGCGAAAGGCGTCTTGGGCATCTGAGGTCGCCACTGCTGGCCCTTGGTGCGGACGGACTGCCAAAACCTCAGCACCAAAACGTGACGGACAGCGGGTTCTGAACCTAGAAGAGTACCATAATAGAATACTGAAGTATAGACCGGACACCCATTTCTGGTCTTTTGCCATTTCTGCTGTTTATTTTTGTATCAAAAAGAGCTAGTCGTCTGAGAACCAGTGCCATATCATAGTATTGTTCTTCATTCTTGGCGATGCAGGATTTCAGTTCAAGTGAGCAAACACGGTCCCTTCTTCACTCACCTACTCACCTGGTCTGAAATAGACCCCAAGTGGGCAAAGAACGAGCAACCTGGAAGCAATCCCGTTGGAACTGTTCCAACAGTGATCTTGTGCCAAGCCAGTCTTGCAGGCACATTGTAGCTACCAATTCCATCTTCTAAGACAACGGACAAGGGCGGTCACCGAATTGAACATATATAATAGATATATATATATATATTATATATAAACATATGGCCAAATACTCTACAAGGTGCCCTTCATGGTGGTAATTCCCACTACACCTTCCATTTAGGGGTCGTAGCAGCAACAACAAAAAATATCCGACATTGTGCAAAGAACTGGACGTTCGGAAAGACATGATGCAGGCACTTGGAACATGAAAAGAAACCAAAGAAATACCTGGATCCTCCAAATTATGTTTAGATGTTGGACTTGTGATTTTGCAATATTTTGAATATTTGGCGGGGAGTAAGCTCAAGTCTGTGCCCTATTTTGAACCACGTCCTCAAATACTGTAGTAGCTGGACTCGGTGTCGCACGAAGACAACTGCGTCTGTGCCTCTCAAGATTCGAGGGAAGCTCAAGAAGCGCGGATGGTTCAGGCTGGGAGAGATCGACATTGAACAACAATATATCTCCCAGCTTCCATCAATCAATTAAATCAAAAGATCTGATTAGTGTTCAATGGTTCACTGATGTTCACTGGGTACCCGCTTGTATTGACATCTCCAATAAATTGAGTCTACAGTCTACATTGTTGATTCTAAGGGTACACCAGGGTCTACGTTGGAATCTGGGAGGGCACTTTGTTTGTCCAAACATGATGCCACCGAAGTACCCCAAGAGAAGTCGCAACTGCAAACGAAGCAAGGATTTGACTGTAGGGGCCATAAACCCACATGATTTCAGATGCAAGATTCCCTTTGAGTTCACCAACTGTTTTCCAAATTTAGGTTGAGGCCCATGGCGATCCTCTCAAAATGTTCTCCTGTTTTGGAATGGGCTCATTTTGATAAAGGATTATAAAGGGGGCCCAACAACTCAGCAAGTTCTTTTAGATGTGACTCGACAGTCCGTGTTCATTTTCCACTTGTTGTTGATCGCTGCTGCGTCAAGGCCGCTGCGAGACTCCAGGTTGGCGCAGCAGTTCCTCAATGTCCATCACAAAGCCATGGGTCACATCAGAGTTGCTGGGCCAGGCTTCCATTCTTGTTAAGATGGAATCGTACAAACGGACTTCTTTGTTGATGCTGAACCTCTGACACATCGCCTCATTCCTCGCTTCAATGGCACCTTTGAAATCTGCACGAAAGCGTTCCCTGAACTGGGCCAGTGTAGTCACATGCTTGTCCCGTTCGCTGTGAAGGTGTGACTGAACTCCTTGTAGGAGCTCTTGAGTAGTACTCCGTTCGTCACGAAGACGTAGACGTTGTTTAGCATCTCCGTGCGCCACTTCTATCTCTCTGTCTGCATTATTCAAGGCCTCCTGCAAAACCGCTACCCTTTCTTCTAGAGATTGCATGACACTGTGAAGCTCTTTCTCAATAGAAACTGTCGATAGCAACTCTTGTCCGTCAAAATTCTTATCCACAAACTGAAACAGGTCCATCTGCTTCAACCCTTCCTCCACTTTTCTCTCTTTGCTGGCCAACAGCATGCCTTGTCCGATGGGTATCCCAATACCTTTCACGAAACTGATTAGGGCAGAGAGCCCCGCCAACCCAACTCTTCCATTTTCCTGCGTTTGTGATAAAACCAGCAAAAGCCCTATGAACCCTTGTGGCAGATCCTCCGCCCAGGCGATCATCAATCGAGCAGTGCTGCAAAAGTCTGTGGCAAGGGCAGAAGCCATGTCGGACGCTCGGTCATACAAAGAAAGACCGCTCAGGGTCAAGGGAGCCGCTTTGGGCAATGACAAAATGCCGCGGTAGGTTTTTCGAATCTCCAAGAAGGTGTCTGGATTGGAAACTACCAGAATGTGTGAAAGGAGGATCATGTAGATGGAAAGCACGCAAAGGCAACCACCATCTGAAATGATGTTGAACATGGCTGCAAAGAGCGAGCCAAATCCAAAGGAGTCACCCTGCTTCAAACAAATGATTAATA